GGAAAGAGAGAGAGGGAGAGAGAGAGAGAGAAAGAGAGAAAGAAGAGATCTCGTAATTAATACGCGGGGGAATATTCGGTGGTGAGAAACGACCGATTACTGGGACTCAACCCCGTAGGCCTAGACCGTGCTGCGGGTAATATTACGGGGTACGGACAGAAGAGGAAGAGAAAGGCCGGTTTTCTTCTGAAGCGTTTTATATACCAGGCAACAGAACCAGGCAGCCGACCATAAGTCCCGCATCATGGCCGCTCGACTCACCGTTATGTGCCGAGTATCGGCGAAGCCCTCGTGCCCCCTATACAAAAGAGAGAGGCCCGACCCCCTCTGTCCCTCGGGCGCTTGAAATTCAACCCCGGCACTGCCGGCCGCTGCAGGGTTGCCAGATCGTGTTGCCAGGACGCGAGGTTGCAACGCGCCGTTATCGATGCTTACCGCACAGCCGGACAATCACCTAACCTCAAATTCAGCTGTAGAACGAGCATGGCTCAGTTGGTTCTGTTATCAGCGGCGTCGAACCACAGAACAGCCCCCTCTAAATTGAATAAGCGGTTCTGAAAAGCGCCGAAACCGTCTTTCAATGGACCTCACTTTTATACATTTTCTTCATTTCAACTAAGCATCTACCTACTCGTCTTCTCGATATTTGTGACTTTTCTTTGTTCGACAGTTTCTGCTCGCATCACTTTTCAAATGGAAATGTAAAAGCGGTAGGGTTGTAAAGAAATTAAAGTGGAAACAATTTTACGACGCGGTTAGGACGTATTCAAAGCTACGCCATTGTTCGCAAAATCCCGGACGCGACATTGCGTATACATCACGGGGAACATACGCCCTATAGATTCCGCGCCTTTCTGTCGGTTGTTTCTAAAGAGCGACCTGTAACCCGCTAATTATTTGTCCTCAGCAACAGGTCTATACTTCTCTTTCGTGTCCTACGTTTTACCCGGAAGTTAGTGCGTGTCTCGTGGAATAATAATACATACCATCGCGTACCCCGATATCTTGCTTATTATTTCTTTCCCGTTTTCTTTTACTTTAACACCGTAGAATTTCTTTATCTTTCTAAATTTTTACCATCTCACGTGTAGACGTAACATATGTACGTATTCTCTTCGTATATAAGTGACATGTAAATTCTCTCTTCCGTTTCTATCAAGCTGTTTACATATGCCGTTTCCTAATCTCCCTAATCTACCTAATCAATATGAAAATATTCAAAAAAACAAAAAAAAAAAGGAAGGAAGTGTATGAAAGATACATGAAGAAAAAAAGTTCCATGTATTTTGAAAGGAAGTCAGAATGGATGGTTTGTAAAATCAAGATCACCACCACCATGTGAACAGGAAATACAAAATCGTTTTTCGTGAGATTTAAAGAGCCGTCCGGCATTCTGAGAAACCTTCGAGGCACACGTGAAACGGGAACAGAGACGGATTTTTGCACGACGACGATCACGATATACGTATGCAGTAAGCTCGAAACACGACTGACGGAAGGAAACAATGAAAGATCAAGAGAAGCGAGTCGTGACTGACGATATATCGCCGGGCTGAAATACGATTCATATGCGAACCGACTATTACCGCGTTCGATACGAACACGTGTCCTGATGCGGCTGCTATACGACATTGTCGCGAAGTGACATGTGGGCCACGGCGTGCGGCAGAATGTGTGCGAACGAAGCATAAGGCCAGGCGGCCGAGGGACGAGAACGGAGTGGAGGCTTTATCGTGGGCCAATCCGAGCGCTGTGACCTTGAGTAACTCTAGAGAGAGAGATATATTTAGCTGTGAGCGGGTCGAGCTGCTGGTACTGCTGCTACCTAGCTCTCCCTTGCGCTCTAAAGTCTCTCTTTAGAGTAGAGGCTTGCAGCGGCGTATAATAACGAGGGAGCCTCATCGAGGGAACCTCTGGACACCGAGCTGTCCCTTAGCAGATATCTTAGTGGCTAAACCCTGTCATAAACGCACTCCACCTTAAGAAACATTTTTAGTACGAATATTACGCTAAATTATTCAAAGATATTTTTTCTTCTCTTCTTAGACTTGGGAATTTATCTCTGTCGAGTTCAGATTTAAATAATATACAATTTTTTACTTTAAATTTCTATTTTAATTAATTCGTTGGAATTATGTCGGATATACTGGAATTTTCGTCTCAAGAGAATTTTAAGCATTTTATGCAGTCTCGCAGGTTAAGCTTGCTCGCCAAGAATGACTTGCGCGAGCAATTTCAAAAAGAGCGATAAAACTATAGATCTCTCTCACATACTTCATTTTCATAAAATTACCACAGCGTCTAGCATTTTTCTGGAAACTACTATTTCACTTCTTCTTCACGTGAATTCGCGTAGTTTTCGCTGGGAAAATTTATTTTGTACGATGTTAATCGTGCCTCGTGTCTGGAGGCTGGTATTTCGACGAGGAATTTTCGAAACACGCAGAGACTTTCGAGTAGCTTCGTGTAATATATTGCTGCGCCGGGTGTTCTACCGTTTTCAGGGACATTTGATTATCCGCCTTTTTTTATTTCGGAATGCCGTATCGTGAATAGCTAGGTGACGATGATGAGTTCGAAACCAGTTCTCCTTGGGTGCTTCGCGAGGCCCGGAGAGCTTCACGGGGTATTCAGGGTTACTCGTCCCAATTTCCGTGAATCTCCCAAGCGTTACGAGACAATTGGGCATTCCCAAATTATAGCCGTCACTTC